GTCATATCCTTAACCAAGAAAACAACCCCAATATAGAAGCACTAAACACAATACCTCAGTATAACAGCCTCTATGTATTAGATACTCCAATAACATAACAGGAAATAATGGCATCCATAAAACAGCTTAAAAACAACAAATCAGCTGGCTGTGACGCGATCCCGGCGGAAATCTATAAGTGTGTAAAGAACTTATTGGTCATCTTCAGGCTCTCCTCGATGTCATATGGGAAAGCGGAGAGGTACCTTAGGACTTTTGCAACGCGAATATAGTGAATAAGTTTAAGAACAAAGGAAGTGCATCAAACTGTGGAAATTACCTAGGAATTTCACTATTGGCTATCGGAGGAAAAATTAAAATTATGTCAAATCGCCTTCACCCACATATAGAAAAAATCCTTCCAGAATCGCAAATCCAACCGTGGCACTATCGACTCTATATTTTCCATCCGCCAACTACAGGAAAAAGTAAAAGAGCAACAGTCTAAACTTTATGTTGCATTCATCTATCTAACAAAAGCCTTCGACTCTGTGAACAGAGATGCACTTTGGGCAATTATGAAAAAGTTCGGAGTACCCAACAAATTTTTTACAGTGTGTTAAAGCTGAATAACAACAACCAGTCAAGAATGTCACATCATGGATCACTGACCGATCCCTTCCTGACAAATACAGGAGTTAGGCAGGGATGTGTCTTAGCGCTTCTCCTATTCAACATATTCATGGCAGCGCTCTGCATTATAGTGGACAGCAAACTGCAGGAGAGAGGATTGGGCATTAAATACAGATATGACTGCTCTCTAGTTGCAAACACGTTACAACAATTACAAGAAATGTTGAACACATATATCTGGGGATACGAGACTTTGGGCCTGAAGCTGAACATCAACAAAACCAAAATCATGTGCACTCCCCCGGAAGATCATAACAATGCTATAAAAATCGGAGAAGAACTATTGGAATATGTAACAGAATTTAATTACCTCGGCAGTTTGATTTCGGAGAAGGTCAATATCGACTCTGAAATTCAGCACAGGATTAGCAGCGCCTAAAGAGCATTCTGGAAATTAAAAGACAGGCTTTTCTACAATCATGACTTGAGTACAAAAACGAAACTGGCAGTGTACCGGGCAATTATAATCCCTACCATGTTACATGAAGGCATTAAACAAGTTGCAACAGAAACACCTTAGACAACTCTTAAGAATCCGGTGGTTCTATCATGTCTCAAACGTATCGGTCCTTAAAAAAGCTAACTGCGAGAGTATTGAAGTCATGGTTACAAAATCCCGCTTAAGATGGTCTGGTCACGTATGCAGAATGCAAGAAAACCGCATACCAAAATCTCTGCTCTACGGTGAGCTTGTAGACGGTAAGAGGAGGCCGGGTGGACAACTCAACTCAAAAGGTACAAGGACATTTTCCACGAAAACTTAAAGGGGATTAACACGCAGAATCATTGGGAAGAAGCAGTTCACAATAGAACTCAATGGAGAAGAATTGTAAATTCAGTTAACAGCGACAACCAAAAAGTAAAGAGGCAACAAAGCAATAAGATTTTTGAATGTCCGGAGTGCGGTAGGCAAAAAACATCACGTATCGGGCTTTTCAGTCACAGAAAAGCTCATGAAAGAAAACGCCTTGCGTGACCATCTTTTGATGCGTGTCGAATACTCGTCAGCGAGTAATGGCAGTATGTATGTATGTATGTAGTCCTCTAGCAACTTTTAATGCACGTTCGGCCTGGGACATCCTGTATATTCGGCTGTTGTTATTTTAACCTCAGCTATTTTATTATTTTTAGTTTATAAAAATAAAAACTACCCTAACTTTAGCGAAAAGTTCTGAATAAGTACGGCTGACACCTTTCTATTGTTACAACTTCATCTCTAGCCTTAATGCATTTTTTAGTAGATATTTAACAGCCACGTCGTAAAGCTGAAAGCTCACTTTTATTGGGACATCAGACGAAGATACTAAAAAATAATGTTTGTTAAAGATAAAATATTTCCATGTACTGTCCTTATCGATTCCTTTTAAGTTTTTTTCTGTTAAGCTCCACCTGGTGGAAGTTTAATAAACTACATCTAGAAGGAGTCGTAAAGTTCTGTAGACACGTTTCGGTTTTAAGCGTCCTACCTCCTACTTAATATTGTATTTAATGGGCAAAAAGGAGGAAGTATTCTATAGTAAAAGTCCTCTGTCTGTAGTAATCTTGTAAATATTTTAATACATTTTGATTTATACACGCTTACAGGAGAACTTTGTACGTAAATTTCGTTTATTTGACATCTGGTAAAAAGCAATAAAAATAGAAATAAAAAAAACCAACAAAAAATAATAGATCAATTTTTGCTTTACAGGGTGTTTTATTTTCGTGCGTTTTACAAAGTTTACAGGGCGGTTATCACACCACATTGCTATTTTTTTATTAAACTAAAGATCCCTAAGGGGTAAGATTCCTATAATACAGGGGAATTTGAAACTGTGTCCCTTATGCCGGGTCCAGACTAAGGCGACAGAAAGTGAACACGATTTTGAGACAAAAACAAGACAAACCCGCGACAAAAATGGGAAATTCAGAGAAGAATGAAAATGAATCAAGACAAATTTGAGACAAACTATCTGTACACAGTGGCGGCTTGTGAGTATATAAGAAGGTGAGGCTATATGAGGTTAATATTCTTCTTATAGTGCCATACTCTATATAGAGTAGGGATCAGCAAGACAAGAAATCTTGTCTTGACAAGCATTTTCTTGTCTTGTCTTGAAATATTTTCAAGAATTAAAAAAAATCTTGTCTTGACCATTTTTTGATAGGTGATTTCTTGTCTTGATTCAAGATATCTTGAAATTTCTTGATATCTTGACAAAGGAAACCCCGTTTAAAATTCGTTTATTAAAGGGGAACCCCTGTTTAAAAGTCGCGGTGAGATTGGTTAATGTGATGTTTATGATTTATGCGTAAAATCGAGGGTTAGGCATCTAATTTTCAAAATTTTCAAAAACTTTGGGCTCATTATACTACAGTAGCCAAAATCAGCAGATTTACATAATTTTGTTAATTATTATTATTATTATCTAACCTATCTAACCTAACCTAAAACGAGTGATTGTGATGGTTTGTTGACCAGCAAATCTGAGCCATTCGTAATTGAATCTGGTTCAGAATACCTACCTACACCTCAGACACCTGGACGTAGAAGTTTAATTAGTAACTTTGACAGTGTAGTGACGGTGATAATACTACTACAGATAAAACAGTCAAAACAACAATGATAAAAGCTACTCTACTTCAGTGGCGTACATTAAAAATGTATTTTTTTTATTTTTAAAGTTTTACGTTAATTCAAAAGGCTGTATGCCACTGAAGTATACCCACTTTGTAAAGTAAATGAATATTTCTTTTTTTATTTTATATTTTCAAGAAATTTTAAGATTTTCTTGATTTCTTATCAAGCAAGTTGCTGGACGAATTTACGCTTACCCGATTTGCGTTCGTACTCGAGATTCATGCCGGCTATTCGGCTGGTCAGGCAGTACGCAGTTGCAGTTGTGCTTAGACGGGTCGGTCGTGACAGACTAGGAATACGACGCGAGGAGTGCCGAGTATTTATTATTTTCAATTTAAGTGTTTACCTTCACTTAAGGTAACATTTAATATAAAAATACTTAAATATTTATTATCTGAGTGTGTTTACAAGCCAAAACTAAAAATAAATAAATTCTCTAAACCCAAAAAAAAACTAAATTATTACTCTAAATAGATAAAAAAGTTATAACAAGTGTTCAAACAGACCACCTTCTTGTGCTAGACAGAAGTCTAGGCGGTCGTAAAATCCTCGTCTGACATTGGCTAACATATTAGGGCTAATAGTTTGGAAAGCCTCTCGTATTTTTACTTGAAGCTCATTTAGATTATTAGCCCTATTATGACCATACACTTTGGATTTTACATAACCTCACAAAAATAAATCATTGGGAGAAAGATTTGGTGATCTAGCGGGCCACAAAATAGTTCCATATCCACTAATTAAACGGTTGGGAAAAGTATTGTTCATATATTCTTGAACAATACGGGCATTGTGGGCAGGGCAACCACCTTAGCAATTTGATTACTTGAAAACGTGGGCTTTTGATCCGCGGTAGCGCAAATGAACACTTGCTTTAACTCCTGTTCTTCATTAATCAACACATCAGGCTTTTTGTGTTTTTGTGGGAGCACGCATCCCACTTTTTTTTTATCATACGGTACTAATGTCGTATATTAGCAGTACCAGTACTCCACAGTACTAACTTTGTCTGATTTCATTAGTTTCCTACTTTTGGCAACGCACGACATCCACACTGCGCCGACAATTTTACGTAAAATAAACCACAAAACAGAGACTCTTTAAACCAGGCTTTATACTTTACCGACTCGAGACGGGACATTCAAAAGTCTCCGAATTTGGAAACAAAACAAAAATGAGACCAAAATGTCGCAGAAATGTATTGGATTTGTCTCAAACTTTGTCGTAAAACATGAATGTTTCTGCGTCTTGTCGCTGTTTTGTCTGCTTGGTCTGGACCCCGTTTTAGATTTTTTAGGATGTAAATACTAAGTTGATATGTATTGTAGTATATTAAAAATTAATCTAATGTTTCAGGTTCAAAATATGTTCCTGAAATTATAGGTGATAATTACAAAGTCCACATGAAACTGACCATCAACTATTTAGCCCCTGAAGATTATGGCATTTACAAATGTATATCAAAAAACTCTTTGGGGGACATGGAAGGTTCTGTCAACGTGTACAGTAAGTATTTTTCTTTATTTTATTAAAGTATTCGAAAAAATACATATGTCACTTTCTAAATTAAATCACTAACAATCAAATTTAATTTACACTCACCACCGACACGCAAAACGGGCACTTGAAAATTTTCATGTATTTTAAAAAAATTTATTTTTTTAATTATTGTATAAATGAATTATATCTTTTACTAGAAGAACTTAAATTTCCAGATATCACTGCCTTAACTGAGCACTGATTAAATTTTGATGAGCCTGTGTTTGTTAAAAATTATACCACAGTGGCCAGATTATAGAACAAATTTTTCTCATGGAGGTACTATGATAATGTCTTTAAACAACGACTTTTCCGAGGTAACTAGGTACAATGATTTGTTATCTGAAAAAGTATTCGAATTTTTCATTGTCCACCATAATGCTTATGACCTTAACATTATTTGTATTTATACTGACTCTGACATGCAATTATTCTGTCATAATCTACTAAACTTGCTTGAGTCCCTGCCCTTAAAAAGCAAATTAATTTTGTGTGGTGATCTTAATATTGACTCTCTTAGTGTATGTGCTGCTCAGGAGTTTCTTCAGTCCATTTTTGATTCTTTTGGAATAGCCATGCATGTTGGTTCACCTACCAGAATATCCAAAGCCAGTTCTAGTATTATAGACTGTGTTGTGTTATCTTTTCATCCTTACTCCATCGCCTGTAACGTCTTTAGCTCGGGTCTCTCTGATCATGAAGCAGTTTTAACTGAATTTTCGATAAAGTCTAAAAGCAAAAATGCTCCTCGTAAATTATTCCGTATTTTTTCAGAAAAGAAGGCTCAAAAGTTCAGCCACTTATGTAAAACAACCAACTGGGATACTCGCTCTTATGATGTCGACACCGAATTTCCTATTTTCGTAAAAACATTAACCAGTCTAGCGTTCAAATCCTTTCCTCTTAGGCCTATCAAAAATAAGCATAATAAACCTTGGACCACTAAAGGTCTACGCATATCTTCTAAAAACATGCGTTCACTCTCTCACTTAAAATTCTCAGACAGTGTCTTCTTCCACAATTACGTAAAACTATACAGAAAAATTTATCATAAGACTATAAGAGCCTCTAAGGATCTTTATTATAATAGGAGAATAGTCAATTCTGGTAATGTTGCTAAAGAAACATGGTCTATTGTGAATGATTTGAGAAACAAAGCTTCTTCGTCTAGCAATATCTCTACCTCACCTGAGACCCTTGACGATTACTTTGTAAATGTAGCGAAAACTTAACTAACACTATATGTCCTTCTCATGATCCATTTTCATACATCTCTAATGATAATGTAAACTTACACAGTTTCTTTTTTTCGTCCGTAGTTTTAGAAGAGCTTCGAAGTACAATTAATACCATCAAAAATAAATCCTTATCTGGGACCGACGGGCTAACTTTAAAAATGTTTTCGAATCTGCCAGTAAGCACTCTGAATCACCTAACAACTTTAATAAACATGTCGTTTCAAAATGGTATTTTTCCAAAATGTCTTAAGATGGCAATAATCATTCCTCTGCATAAAGGAGGTCAACATGACAAACATGAAGCTTCTAACTATCGCCCAATTGCACTCCTTCCAACGCTATCTAAGATCATAGAAAGGTTGGTTAAAAGAAGGCTGGTATCTTTTCTGTTTAAGTACAAAATACTTACTGAATATCAATTTGGATTTCTAAGCAACAAGTCCACAAATGACGCTATGTTTTCCCTCCTTAATAAAGTTTACTCCAGCCTAAATAGCAATCATTCTACAGCAACTATTATCTGTGATTTTTTTAAGGCGTTCGATTGTGTAAGTCATAAGATCCTAATTAATAAACTGCAGCACTATGGGTTCAGGGGATCATCTCTCGAATGGTTTAAGTCGTATCTGAGCAACAGAAGTCAACTTGTAAGGGTGGATACCACGTTGTCTTCTAGCAAGCCAATAGAATGTGAAGAACAAGGCTCAGTACTAGGCCCTATTTTGTTTCTTCTTTTTATTAACGACATTGCTAACATAAACATCAGTGGCAAAATATGTCTTTTTGCGGACGACACTAGCTTCACTTGGAGCAACAAGAACGTCACGGCACTTCATAGGATTATATCAAATGACTTAATCACTATTAAATCTTGGTGCGACTCGAACCTCCTGAGTCTCAACATTTCTAAAACTAAAGCTTTGTCGTATAAAAACTCGCTGGAGCCTTTTGTACTTAACAACACCTCCATTGACGTCGTAAAATCTGTAAAATTCTTAGGGCTTGTTGTAGACAATTCTCTGAAATGGGATATACATATCGAAGCTTTGTCGAAAAAATTGAGCTCTGCCTGTTTTACATTAAGATCTGTTTCTAAGGAGCTTAACTTGTCAGAGTGGCTAGAACTGTTTATTATGCATTTTTTGAGTCGCACCTCAGGTATGCCCTTCCATTCTGGGGTACGTGTTGTGCGACTCAATTTGACCGCATTTTCAAGCTCCAGAAGAGAACTGTTCGATATTCACTGGGAATAAATCCTGAGACACAATCACCTATCATTTGAAATCAAATCCATAACATCATTTTCTTCATTTCGCAAAGCATTGAACTCTTATTTACTAGACAAGGCTTTCTACGCTGTAAATGAATTATATTTTGAAAATCGAATTTGATCTTGTAAACACTGGTCTAATGTTTGCTATTGCTATATTTACTAATGACATCGAAATAAATTTATTTAGAGGTCATTGATATTTACTATAAACTAACTAAATATTTTTGAATATTATTTTTATTTTTTTGTTCTTTTGTATTGTAAACATTTATAAATGTTTATTTTAAACAATAAGACCGACAATATTATTTGTATAATGTTTTGTATTATCTTTTGTTTGTTTGTTTGTGTACCTTGTTTGTTTACTTTGTTTGTTTAGTTTACCTTTGTCTACAAATTGAAAAATTTTTTGACAATAAAGGCATTTGTTTAAAGTTTGGTGTTTCTAGTGGACTGATTTTGATGATTTTAAACAATTTGTAGTTAAATTATTTTACTTTTTAGTAACCTCCTTCTGGAGGAATTTGAAAATAATTTTAGGATTTTGAAAATCATCGAGGTGCATCTTTTCTCGATAGTTTATTTTTTTGGTTCGTCTCAATAGGTTTGTTTTTATTTTTGGGAGATATTCGCTTTTGAAGAAGACACTAACAATTTTTCGTAATTTTTATATTAAAACCATGCCTTTGCTTTTAGTCCCCGTTAACAGACCTAGTAAGCGATCTATCTTAGCGTGCTATCTTTTTTAATCAGGATATAAAATTATAAGAAAGGGTTAAAAACATGCTCCCCAACTATTGTTAATTTCTCTATAGGTTATAGTTATTAACGTAATAAGGCCGATAAACAACAAATAACGGCCGGGCTGAAGTTTGTGATCCGAGGCGATAGCCGAGGATCATAAGCAGCCAAGGCCGTTATTTGTTATCGGCAAATGTTGCGTTTCTAGATTTTCGTCATACTGCAGATTTTTTAGAGCAATAAACACTACTATTTAATAACAAATTTTATTGAACAATAACACAAGTAAGGATAAAAAATACATAATGTCTTATACTAAAATTCATTTTTCATGATAATGAACATGGAAATTAAAAAGTGCACTTGTTTGTTCTTAGAAATCTGTAATCCTTCCCAGGGATTTACAGATTTTATAGAAGAAGATGATGCTACTGAAGAATGGCAAATATTTGTATCCACTAAAGACACATTATTTTTTGGAGCTATCATGAAAAAGTTGATTTGTTATTTTCATTCTTTTGAAACTGATTTTTCTATGTAAGTTTCTGCCACTGTTGAAGACTCCCATCCTCCTAGCTCCTTTAGCGATAGTAAATCACCACCATTTTCGGCGAGCATGGTTGCTGATGATCTACGAAATGAATGCCCTGTATAACGTTCTGGATTCTCCAAGTTCAAAAATTTTGCAATTTTCTGCGGTACGCTCCCCGATGGTATGTATACCGATTTGCTTAACACACTTGCCTTTCTTGTAACCAATGAAAATTTTGGATTGTCAAAGTTACGAGGACGCAGGTTGATGTATTTTTGTATAAACCATAGGCATCAAACGGAAGGCCCGTTTTTGGGATAAGAAATTTCCTATCTTTCTTATTTTTAGTATTTCTTAATGAGACAAGAATATTTTTCTCCGAATCTTCGAAATCATCAACTGTGAGTGACCAAAGCTCGCTGCGCCTACAAGCTCCAAGAATACCAAGCACCAATACAATTTTTCGAGAGTAACCAGGTGTAATCATCGGCATCCAGTAGAAAATTATTTATGTCATTCTCCGACAGAACTTTGGCTTTTTGGTGAATAACCTTCGTTTTTGCGCCTCAGAAACATGAACAGTTTACCAAATCTATGAACAAATATAATTTAGATGAGTATGATTAAATATCGAAGAATATAATGGCTTTTTACCTTGATATGTCGATGTTTTCATATACTCTCAACGCAAGCTTCAGCATGGATATCTTTGTCCACAGTGATGTAGGAGAATACATTTCAGACATTCTTTTAGCATAAGCCAGCAATACCGCTTCATTTACGCTGTTTATACTTCTATCCTGCCGCCACTTCAAAAAATTGTCATATTCCTGCTGATATCTCTCTCTGGTTATAGTCGGAAGTAAATTTTGAGTAGCCGCAGCCGCTTCCTCCTGTATTTCCAACGGAATTTCTCGCGACATCTCGCTATGGTCTATTTTCCCAATTTTTGAAAAGTCCAACTGACAATAAATAGTCATTGTTGCAGGTGACAGACGTTACGATTACCTTAGAAACTTAACGGCCGCCGGCCGTTATGATAACGTCCGGCGGACGTTATATGCATCTTTTCCATTCTGATTTTGCTTATGTTATAATAATATAACAATATAGTATGACGAAAAAATAATAAATATGCTTTTAAAACATTTTAACAATATGCATTTTTCTTATTTCAGAAATACCCCATCCTAACGTGGCAGTGTCAACCAAAATGAAAAGTAAGAATGACTTTTGCTTTGCATGACTTTTATAGTCTTTAAGTAATATTATTATAGGGTATGGGTAACTATTAAACTTTTTCTTTTCGTTCAGTTATTGTCTATAAATTTATACTAATTTTTGTTCTTTTGGATCCAGACCAAACTGACTATTAGGTACTTACCACCATATTCTCTAATTATCTTTTATATTTTTTTTTGGTTTAGTTTCTTTGACCTGGAATACTATATAATTTTTTCTTTTTATTCTTGGCCTTAGGTCGTTGGGGTTTTAAAAATGTTTCTAGATTTCGTTTATAGTTTTATTTTCATTGACAACGTTTCGACAGTTATGTCTTTTTCAAGTTTTGAACGTAGATTTCCATAGAATTGAAATTGTAAAAAAATGGACAATACACACATATTAAAACATTCTATTATTTTGTTTGTTTAAACACTCACATTCTAGTATAACAGCACGTGTTTTCTCGCAGATCGTTTGTATATCTATACAAGTTGATCAAGTCAAGTCTTGTATATGTATGTATTAGGGTGTCCGTTATTTACCAAGTTGATTATTTTTCTCACGACGCCCTCTAAATTTTTAGTTTATTGTCTAAAAAATAACAGACCATTGTAAACTCTTAATATTCACAATAAACCTTGCCCCAAAGACGATTCATTTCCCATTAATTACATAGGAATTTGCCATTTTTTGCAAATATTTTTCCCTCGATCTTGTTTTCTCGCAGCCATGAAAATCATATAATCTTCTACAGATTTGAACGCGCTACAAAAAAGGTCTCTTACAATTTTTCGATCTTCAAACGTTATTCACGGTTAAAGTTAACCACTCGGTAAATTCCTAATTTTTCAACTTTTTTGACAAAATTATGATTATTTTTGAAAAATGTAATCTATTATTTGAAAAAAAGCAATTTTGAATCATGAAAGACAATTGAATGCATGACAAGTAGTTAATTCTAATACTTATTATAGTATTGGCAGAAAATGGTTGAAGCTTTAAAAGTGAATAATGATGAAGAGTTCGATATTTCTAATGGCGCTGCATTTTTAATGAGTATGATTTTAAATGGTTTATAAATAAAAACCTTGATTATTTCATAAATTCAAATTCGTTACAATTTTTTACACGGTTTAATATTGATACATGTTTTCAGCAATTAGACAGTACGGAATGGTTAGAGGATCCTGGATACATGAGAGGCTTAGAAATTGTGAAAAATTTGAGAGTAGTTAATGATACTGCAGAAAGAGCTGTTAAATTGTCAGAAGAATACATTAATATTATATCTAGAAGTGAAAATGAAAAGCAATATGTGATTCAGACTGTAAGCGAGTATAAAAAGAAATATAAAAATCCAACTAAAGAATGTTTATTAAAATAAATCAGCTATACTTAAATGGTTTAAACTTCATTGGACTTGAAGATTTCTTAATTCCCAACCTTAACGCCATCAGAGTTGTATATTTTTACAGTAATAGATTAAATTTTTCAAAAATAATTATAATTTTGTCAAAAAAGTTGAAATATTTAGGAATTTACCGTGGTTAACTTTAACCATGAATCACTTTAGAAGTAGTAGGTTTATAGAAAAATTGTAGAGACCTTTTTTGTAGAGCGTTTAATTCTGTAGAAGACTATAGGATTGTCATGGCTGCGAGAGAACAAGATCGAGGGAAAAAAAATATTTGAAAAAAGTGGCAAATTCCTATGTAATTTAATGGAAAATTAATCGTCTTTGGGGCAAGGTTTATTGTGAATTTTAAGGGTATACAATGGTCTGTTATTTTTTTTTTAGACAATAAACTAAAAATTTAGAGGTCGTCATGAGAGAAATGATCAGCTTTGTTAATAACGGACACCTTATATATATATATATATATATATATATATATATATATATATATATATATATATATATATATATATATATATATATATATATATATATATATATATATAATAAACATACTGATACCTATTATTTAAATACAATTTTAATAATGGTACAGCAAACCGATCAAATCGATAATAGTTTAGCTTTGCACAGAGCAGATCGTGGTTTATTGTATCGAATGCCTTTGAAAAATCTAACAGTACAAGCACATTAGCCAAACTTTTATCCCAAGCATTTAAAATATCATTAGTAACAGTAGCCAGTGCCGTGGAAATTGAATATCTTAATCTAGTGCCGCATTGTGTATCTGAAATAATGTTATTTTATTGATTTTGACTCGTAAAATGGATTGATTTAATTTAAACTTAATTACTCTGGATTTAAACAAACAACAGCTTACAACGTATGTACACATTTTTAGAAACAAATATTATTGTAACAGAATAAAAGTCTTTTCGTGACAAAAAATTATCTGAAAATGAAAACAGAATTTTTATATTCCTTCCGGGCCAAATATATTTATATATTATATTTCTTTTCGAAAGAAAAATAAAAATAATCACATAGCAGGGACAAAAAAATAAAATGTTTTTCGTCAAAATGTTTTTCGACAGTGACACGTGGGGACACTCTTATTTTTTAAAAACATGGATCTAGATAAACCTAAATGTTTTTATAGAGAATAAGAGTCCAAAACTTTTTCCTTTATAAAAGGTCTGGGTTTTGCTTAAAACAATCTAACTTTGAAATTTGTATTTTTTCATCTGCCTTTGTTTATTAAAAAAATATTTTCAAATTAAATTTAAACGCAATGCCTAAAGCTGCTAAGAGAAAAAAGCATTTAAAGAATAAGACTATGGCACAATTTTTACTTTTTTTTTCAGTTTTCACTTTTTTATTCACATTTTTCTATTGATTTTAGTTTTAATTATATTCCTGTCCAGTTTTAACGTCCCTTTTACATTCGTAACAGTAAATTTGATATAAATTAATGAAATTAGGGAATAAATTTTCGAATCTGTAAACGAGCTCAGTTGTATTTTATGTTTTGGATGTAATCAATCGATTATGTTCGAAGTGAACCAAATTAAGTTGTCATACGCGAATGATACATGGATAATTATATCAGTTTAAGCCTATTTTTAATTATTGGCATTTAATGTTTATGCAATTTAAACTTTCAATATATTATTAATATATTACTAATTTTTAACACTTTATTTAATATAATTTTGTAATACGTACAAGTTTATTTTACATTACATTTACAAATACTTTTGTAACCTCATCACAACACTACGGCCTTTAATAGACTTAAATACTGCTTAATTATGTACCTTAAGAGAACATTAAATATATCTACCAGTCTTAATATTTTTTTTTAATATACAGGGTCTGGTAATAGTGCGTCGGACATCTATAGCTCCTAGAGCTTATAGTCCTTAGCTACACATTTCCCGGCGTGACTTAGATGTAAGATAACACACTAGTGTTGTGTCGATCTGCGGTGCGAGAGATGGGATGGTACTGGGTTCGATCCTCAGTTAGTACAGTCGCTTTATTTATTTAAATAAAATTATTTATTTATCTAAATAGAGCGACCAGCGAGCCGCCACCTCAAGGAAGGCAATAGCAAACCACCTTGAGTATATTTGCCTTGTACAGCCTCTCAAATAGTGTCGTTCGGATTCGGCGATAAACTGTAGGTCCCGTGTACTTGTGAAACACTGATAACACACATCACCAGCGAGACTACACACTCTACTAGCGAGACACATCACTGTATGCGAGAGGTAGTCGACGCTTTGTATGGTACGCTTTGACACTATAAGAAGAAGAATTTTGTTATTATTATTGTACTGATATTTTTCCGTATATGTTATTCTACGTAGTGTATGATGTTTCAATAGCTCTAGTTTCTTGAACGTTGGTACGTTTTAATAATTTCATTTTCGATAAATCTGTGTCTGTCAGATCCAAGAAGTTATGTCAATCGTTAATTTTTATTATTGTTTTTGTTTTTCTTAGTCTCTTTCGTTTTGTATTTGCACGCGTGAAATATTCGATATAACGACTAAATTTCATCTTCGCTTCAGCACCGATCAAACGATACGAATCTTTGTGTTTTTTCTTATTTCTCCCGTTTCCTGGTCTCCGTGTCCACTGAAGCGTTCGAGACTTCATAGAAGCCGACACCACGTTTAAGATTTTCTTCCGGGACTTCATTTTCCGGGAAATTCTTTCACTTCGCCACGTTTCGACTCGATATAAAATTTATTACCGTTGCGCTGAGAAGTAGAAAGAAAATGTACGGAGCGCGGACACTTTTCAAGGGAAAATACGGATATAGAAAGCGACTGATACGTTAGTTTTATTTACTCTAATGCTAAGTAAACACAAGATCGATAAAATGCTTGATTTGATGGTTGAAAGTTTTGATAGGATCACGTTATGACGTTTATAGTAAGAAAACCTTGAAATCGTATGATATTAAAATAAAGACAAATATTTAACAATATTTTCTATCAATATCTGTCTAGGTCTTTGAATAAAAAGATTAAGCAAGGAGTATAATGCTATCCATGATTTATACATGGTCGACGGAAAGAGGACTCTAGAGTGGGGATTCTTGACAGTTCTGTTTGACACATTTGAATTTGATTTGAAGTTTTGTGGATTTGTCAGTCTTTACTGAGCTTATTTTATGTTACGTTAATAGTTATTTTTTATACAAAACGATAAAATGGTATTTTATCGTCGACCGAAAAGATTAATTCACGAGCGATGAAATCGCGAGTGAATTAATTTTGGGAGACGATAATGCAATTTTATCGTCGTGTATAAAACAATATTTTTTTCCATAAGGAGTTACGTTTTAAAAAATATTCAGAAATTATTATTTTAAGGATTTTATTATGAGTAGAAAAAATATTGTACTGGGTTGGCTTTGGTTTCTATGTAATTTGACAAATAAATAAAGCTGTCTCTTTAGTTGCCAGTTTTGAGTCAATATTTTTTAATTTTCTTTCGTGTCGATTGCTGATTAAATTGGAGCCAGAAATGTCTCAAAACGAAATAAGTAAATTACCAACAGATATTCAGGCTGAGGCGACAAACGCTATATCCAAACTACATCCATTCAAATCCCGAATAAGTTATAAAAAGGAATACAAACATTTTCAAAAATGGAAGCACTTTAAAAACGTGCGAGAAGAAATAAAGTTTTTAACCTATCCTCGCTGTTAAAGTATCATTTAATCTACCCTTGCGGTTAAAGTATTATTTTATCTACTATTTTTGATAGATATAAGGCAATTTCGAGGGCAATTTTAATAGTTGCTATGGAAAAAATCATTTTTTTAATTTGCAAAGTAAAATAACTCGCTTTTTGAGAAATGGTAAAGAGAAAATGTGTTTCTTTTATCGAGATCTGCCAGTCCTGAAAAATTTTGCACTTATTTAAGACCCACCTTGTATATCAGTAATTTCTGTTGCAAAGTGTTCATGCTCTATGTATTTCCATTAAGCTCCTCAGTGCAATGGCAATACATTTTATATTGAGTCGAAACGTGGTAAACTGAGAGAATCTTACAGAAAATGAAGTCTTGGGTGAAAATCTTAAGCGACGCGACGTGACGCTCTCCATGACGACTTGTTCGCTTCGATGGCTACGGAGACCAGGAAGCGAGAAAGGAGAATGTACAAAGATTCCTTTCGTTTGATGGCGTTAAAGCGAAGATGACCTTTATTTGTTAGATCGATTTTTTTGAGCGTACAAATTCATAAAAAACAAAATTGGCCAATACAAAAACGATTCAATTAATCATTGATTTACATAACTTTTTTGGATGTGAAAAACATTTCATATTTTTTATACATACAAAATTTGAAGCATTTTTTTGCATTTACATAAATACTTTAAATATCGGTGATAACCCGTGTGAAACACGCCAAGCTTCTCACCACCGATCTAAGCATTTTATTGATAAAAAAATAAAAAATAAATAGTTAAAAATTAATATAATATATTATTAATAGTTAAAAATCTTTTAGAAGAAGAACGCCTATGGTTTATATCCCACCAGCTACCTACCCCCTCCCCGACAAAACCCTCTTCCATCTATCGGCACTTGTTCGCCATAAAAAATACACTTTACTACTTGCAGGTGCGGCTCACGATAAAACCGTGGACCTGACTTACGACGCAGAGACGGGCAGCACGAACGGAGCAGGTCAGAAAGGTATGAGGAATTTTTTAAAAATTTAATACCGGGAATTTTCCAGGAAAGTTTCGCTTAAGGCAGTCGCACACTCTCTAAAATAGTAGGGTTTTGCACGAAGGGTCACTAGAAAATTTAAACGGTAGTTTTATGGGCTCAAAAATGTTGTACATGGTGAGTCAACGATAGAATAAAGTCAATTATATCATAGGTTTAAAGGTTTGCAAAAAATGTTAAATATAAAAGGTATAGAGAAAGTTAAATAGTATGTATATTGTCAAATTATTATGGAGTATACATGGTGCTCCAAAAAACTGTGACGGATATAACATTTTTAAATTTTTAAGCATTTAAAAAAAACTGTATACAGGGTGGTTCAAGGGTGTATACAGGGTGGTCTGAACTGTATTCCGGAAACTTCGGCAGCATATTCTGTAGATTAAAATAAGTAAAATTCATTTTTATTCCGGTTTTTTCCATGTAATTTCTGAAATAACGTTAATATTTTAATGAAAATTAGTGTCTGGGAGTTTTTTGACATGAGAAACTTGATTTTGATGTCCATATGACTCCTACTTATAGAGGGCGTCACCTACATATTTTTAACTGGTTTGAAGTGTAATAACTTTTAGTCCGCACATGTATAAAACTGCTGTGTAAAAAAATATACATTTACGACGTTTCGATATTTGGAATCGAAATTATCAATATCTGTAATCATTGACATAAATTAAACATGTTGACTGAATAGTTATTAGACTGAAATCATAAATTTAAAATGTTTTTGTGCCAGAAGTTTAACAGAAACTGTTGTTTAATTTAAAAAAATAAAAAGTTCCCAAATTTATCATTTCAGTGAAATAAATATCTATCTCAACATGTTTATTTTTTTTGTCAATAATGACATGAATTGACTATTTTCATTCAAAATATCTTGAGAACGGTTGCTCGTAGCGATTTTTACAAAGAAACATTTTTTTCGCAAAAAATTACGGAAATGAATATTTTTTACGCAATAGTTTTATACACGTACGGACAAAAAGTTTTCAAAACAGTTAAAACACATGTAGGTGGTGCCCCCTACAAATAAGAGTCATATTAATATCAAAATCACATTTGCCATATCAAAAAACTCCCAGACACCAATTTTCATCCAAATATTGACCTTACTTCAGAAATTATTTCGAAAAAATCGAAATAAAAATGAAACTTCTGCACCCTGTATCTCAGAAACGTACATACATACATACATACCGCCATTACTCGCTGACGAGTATTTGACACGCATCAGAAGATGGTCACGCAAGGCGTTTTCTTTCATGAGCTTTCCTGTGACTGAAAAGCCCGATACGTGATGTTATTTGTCTACCGCACTCCAGACATTCAAAAATCTCATTGCTTTGTTGCCTCTTTACTTTTTGGTTGTCGCTCTTAACTGACTTTACAATTCTTCTCCATTCCGTTCTATTGTGAGCTTTCCCCACTCATTCTGTTTGTTAATTCCCTTTAAGTTTTCGTGAAAAATATCCTTGAACCTTTTGAGTTGTCCAGCCGGCCTCCTCTTACCGTCTACAAGCTCACCGTAAAGCAGAGATTTTGGTATGCAGTTTTCTTGCATTCTGCATACGTGACCAGCCCATCTTAAGCGGGACTTTGTAATCATGACTTCAATACTCTGGCAGTTAGCTTTTCAAGGATCGATACGTTTGAGGCATGATGGAACCATTTTATTCTTAAGAGTTGTCTAAGATGTCTGTGTTGCAACTTGTTTAATGCGTTCATGTGTCGACGGTACGGCACCCAGGTTTCGCTTCTATATAACATGGTGGGAATTATTTTCGCTCGGTACACCGCAAGTTTGGTTTTTGTGCTCAAGTCATGATTGTAGAAAACCCTGTCTTTTAATTTCCAGAATGCTCTTGAGGCGCTGCTAATCCTGTGCTGAATTTCAGAGTCGATATTGGCCTTTTCCGAAATCAAACTGCCGAGGTAATTGAATTCCGCTACATATTTCAACAGCTCATCTCCGATTTTTATAGCATTGTTGTGATCTTCCGGAAGGGGTACACATGGTTTTAGTTTTATCGATGTTCAGCTTAAGTCCCAAGGCCTCGTATGCCCATGTATATGTGTTCAACATTTCTTGCAATTGCTGTAACGTATTTGCAACTAGAGCACAGTCATCAGCGTATTGAAGTTCTGTGATGAATTTTGTACGTGTTTTCGCCCTGAGTCTTTTTATGTTGAACAGACCGCCGTCGTATCTGTATCTAATGCCCAAACCTCTCTCCTGCAGTTTGCTGTCCACTATAATGGAGAGCGCTGCCATGAATATATTGAATAGGAGAGGCGCTAAGACACATCCCTGCCTAACGCCTGTGTTTGTTAGGAAGGGGTCGCTTAGTGATCCATGATATGACACTCTTGATTTGTTGTTGTTATGGAGGCTTTTACACACTGTAAGAAATTTGATGGGTACTCCGAACTTTTTCATAATTGCCCAAAGTGCATCTCTGTTCACAGAGTCGAAGACTTTTGTTAGACCGATGAATGCAACGTAAAGTTTAGACTGCTGCTCTTTTACTCCTGTAGTTGCCGGATGGAGAATATGGAATCGACGGTACCGCGGTTGGTGCGAAAACCCGTTTGCGATTCTGGGAGGATTTTTTCTATATGTGGGTGCAGGCGGTTTGACATAATTTTTGTAAGAATTTTTCCTCCGATAGCCAGTAGTGAAATTCCTCTGTAGTTTTCGCAGTCTGATGCACTTCCTTTGTTCTTAAATATATTTACTATATTCGCGTTGCAAAAGTCCTGAGGTACCTATCCGCTTTCCCATATGATATCAAGGAGAGCCTTAAGATGACCAATAAGTTCTTTACTTGCACACTTATAGATTTCCGCCGGAATCGTGTCACAGCCAGCTGATTTGTTGTTTTTAAGCTGTTTTATAGATGCCATTATTTTCTGTTCTGTTATTGGAGTATCTAATACATCGAGGCTGTTATACTGAGGTGTTGTGTTTAGTGCTTCTATTGTATATTATTGGGGTTGTTTTCTTGGTTAAGGATATGCCTGTAATGCTCTTTCCAGAGGTTTCTGATTTGCTCTTCCTCTTTTAGAAGTTCGCCAAGTGTGCCATGATTGGGCATCTTGCCTTTTTAGTTAGACCGTACACTTCTTTTACAGCCTTTAAGAATTTACGATAGTTGTGATGCGTGGCATACTCCTGAATCTGACTAGCTTTTTGCGACCATCAGTTATCCTTTAGTTGGCGCAGGTTTCTTCGGAGCGTGTTGTTGGCTGCCTTAAAGTTGTCTGCTAGTCTCGGATTTTGTGGATTTACAGTGACGGCTTGATGTGCTCTATGCTTCTGTTCCAACAAAGCCTGTATATGCGGTTGATTTTCGTTAAACCAGTCTGGTTGTTTCTTTTTGTTGGATTTTCCCAGTACTGCTTTGCTGGTTTTGTGAATCGCATCTCTTAGTTGTGTCCAGCCATGTTCAGCATCCACGATTGAGATTGAAGTTATCGGTGGAAGTGATTCTTTGATGGCTTCCCGGAGAGCGTCGGCGGTATCGTTGTTCTCTATACCCCGTACGTTCAATCTGGTCATGTAGCTTTGCTTTTTACAGTGTGGATGTTTTGGTTTTAACTGGATTTTCATTTTTGAGATTAAAAGTCGGTGGTCAGTGCCATATTCGGCATCTCCTTCGAACGATTACGTGGTCCAATTGGTGCCAATGGCCTGATCTCGGATGTTTCCAGGTACCTTTAAATTTGTCATTCAGCATGAACCACGTATTAGTGATGCAAGGATTATACTCTGTGCATGTTGTTAATAAGCGTTCACCATTACTATTTACGTTTCCTATTCCATGTTTTCCAAATACGTCAGGCCATACTTCCTGTTGTTTGCCGACACGGGCATTAAAGTCACCTAGCAAAATGATTCGTTCGTGCTTTGGAATTTGTTGGAGTATATTTTGAAGAGCTTGGTAAAATTTATCCTTAACCTCAATTTTAGCGTCTAGGGTAGGAGCGTAGGCACTTATGATGTTAACGTAAGTATTGTCTGATATGGGGTACCTTAGGGTCATAAGACGTTCGGAGACACCAATAGGTACCTCTGTTAATTTGGTGGCGATTTCGTTTTTGATTGCAATGCCTACGCCATGAATTCTCCTGTGTGTTGCCGGGTGACCCTTCCAAAAGAAGGTGTAATGCTCCTCATTGAGACTACCTTCATCCGCAAAGCGGGTTTCTCTAAGAGCGGCAACATCTATATTTATTCGGTGGAGTTTCTGTGAGACCAGTGCTGTTCTTCTCTCTGGTCGATTGGAGTTTGTCCTGTCCAGTAGAGTGCGGACGCTCCACGCCGCAAACGTGACACATTGACAATGTCCGATGATACGCTCGAGTAGGCACCCCCTCCCGGAGAGCCGATCGAGGGGGTATTTTACCTCCGGACGATGATTTTGTCCTACTCGAATGTTCCATCTTTGATGAGTGTAAGCTGCGTAAAAAGGTTAAACTGTGACGGTTACGCTGCCGCACAGTTTGGCTGCAACTGTAGCACGGGATGGCTATGGCACAGTGAGGACTGCGACGATAGTTCCCTTGTGCTACGTTCTCGGCCGGCTAGGAGTAGTTTACTACTCCTTTTCCCCAGAAAGGTGGTAGATCTGAGGGTTTTATAATGATATACCGCCTATATTCGGTCGTCAGAGCCTAGTTTGTTTAAACAGGGTGCACCACGTGAAGGTGAGGTTGACTTTTGGGTAAGCTAGGCTATATGTATCGCTTCAATACCCCTTGTACCCCAGAAATACCCCTTGCTCTCAGAAATGAAGCATTTTAGGACATACATTTATAGAAACTTTTTTACAGATGTTTATCTACAGAATATACTGCCGAAGTTTTCGGAATACAATTCAGGCTACCCTGTATTACAATTGAGGGTTGGAACGTTTGGTGTTATAAAAGGAAAATAAAACACTACAACATAACTTGACATTTACCCGAGAGCAAGAGAGTACATTGTCAATTTTAATTTAAATAAGAGTAAAATTCCATGTAGTCAATGTATTGCCTTATTTATGATGACAAAACCATTGTTTTGTTAACATAAAAGTGTTCAAATATGTAATCAACCTCTATAGATATCTCCTTTTAGTGGATTTTTTTCTTACTTTTATATATAAGCTTTTGTTGTTTGTAGGAAAGCCTGGGAAATCCGGAAAAACGATCAGTTCGGGCGCCAGCGACACTAATCATTTCCACGCCATTGAACGTGGGAAGTTTATTGGGCTAATGTTCCTAACCTCCATCTTCGCCCGTGTCATATGGTTCCAGTAATGTAGAAAGACGAAAAAAGATTTTTTTAGAAAATATATCCCATCTTGAAGACAAAGGAGAGCATTTTCAATGAGAACAATATCACAAAGTTATTTTGTGTATTAAATTACTGAATTTAGATGTGACAATATTAAAATATTGTCAGATTATTTCAACATACAACAGTGAACTTGTTTTAGCAATACTCGGTCAGGACGAATTGTCAAGCTTTAATTATACAACATTTTTACTAATCTGTATTTTTTCTGTCACAATGCTTAACTAAATATGTTGCAATTAATTTAGTTAATACAAATACTTCAATTGTTGAAATATATATTTGTAGATTCTCTTTCTGTAATATAAGGTTGTTGAGTTTAATTTTTTACACTATCAACAATATTTAAAAATTAACAATACAATGATATAAAAATAAAAGAAGATCTCTTAAATATATAAAAAATATTTATTATTAAAATGTTATCAGTACTAATATATACTGACAGGCATGAAAAACGAGCACCTTAAAATTTTGATGTATTTTAAAGTTTAATTTATTTATTCTAATGGGCCGATTTTAATGATTTTTAAGCAATTTGGAGCTAAATTATTTGACTTTTTAGTATCTATTTCTAAATTAAAAATGAAAGTTGCCATTTGTCAATTATACGAGGAAACAAAAGTTGATATTTTGATGAAAGTTTGCAACATCCTGTGGAGTACGTTAACAAAGCAAGGAATCTAAAAATGACTCTATCATATAGGTGTATCTTTTCTCAATAGTTTATTTTTTGACTACTTCATAAGATCGTTCCGCCATCCGCCCTGATCTCTGCAGTCTGGTTCCAGTATAACTGGGTGGCATACTGATGGTTCTAAGATTCTCGGCAAGTTTTTGGTGCGACAAACAGTCAAAGGCCTTTTTATAATCTATAAAGCAGGCATATATATCGACGTTCATGTCATGTGATAATTTAGCTACAAATTGATAAAAATTATCAAAATCGGCCCACTAGAGCAAATTATATTAGACTTTAAAATACATCAAAATTTTAGGGTGCCCGTAGTTCGTGCCGGTGGGTGTATATAGTAAGTAAACATATTTGTGATATGCATCGTTCATATTTATATACCTTATTTATTATTTCATTTCTTTTAAGCCAATATATACAAAACGGTTAAATAAAACACTTGTTTAGAGTAGGCTTACAGACCACAATTTTGTTGGTTATGTTCTAGGATTGTTACTAAACTTACTGATTGTGACAGTGACAGTCAATTGTAACCTATTCTAAATTTTATTATACCATTTAATCACAATATAAGTAAAAATTATTTTGTTTTACAAAATGTAAACTAAAAGTTAAATTCTGTTTTAATAAATATCAAAACTTAAATACAATATTAATCCGTTCTATATAACTACGATAAAAATTCTACATTGAATGTCAAGAAAATATTGACATTTATGTCCAAAACATAACGAAACTCTCTATTCGTGCTGTACATAAACTTCGACTAAATTTAATCTAACAATATTCGTGAACTTAATAGATAATATCCTTGGTGTTATTCATACAACATGCTGTGTATGTGTTAGGAAGTTATGCTGCAACGTTTCTTGCATAATTAATGTAAATATATTAAATCTGAAGCTCTAACTAGCGTAAAGATGTAGTGAAATTATGTATATTTTGTTGTACAAACACAATATTACAATGTTGGAACGTTCCCTTTGAGATGATAAATTGTTTTTTATTTATTTATATTATTTATTTTTACAGGGGACATTGTGTTTCAATGAATATTATTGCTATTGTTATTACATTTTAAGTATAGGAAATTAGTATTTAATACTATACAGGGTCTCTCAAAAAAATCCTTTATGGATATTTCGCCACTGCACTGCAAGAAAATACTGCTAGTCAGAAGTTACGTTTGCAGTTATACAAATTTGCCTAACAAAGAAAAAAATGCTTAACGTTGCGGAACGATTATTATTATTTAAAATATTTAAATTCAACTATTCGAGGACACTTTACTTTTTTAAAACAGATACGTCTACAAGAAACCGTTGACGTTCTGTTAAAATGACATTATATATCAAGCTAAACTTCAAAATTAACAATTACTACCTGATAACAATTACTTAATAAGGGAAAACCAAAAAGCCCCAAAGTTTCTCTATGATTATTTTTAAATTTTACGTATGTTATGTTTATTTAAGTTATGTTCTTTAAAATCAAAGAAGCGATTGCCATACATTACTAACTTCTACAGATGCATGAGCAATACATTTATTTCTATTAAATTGAATTAAAAAAACCTCTTATATTTTTCTTTTAGAGGCTATCGCTTCTTTCATTATAGTTTTGGCATTATTAAAATTTATTCTGTACCCTGTCTGTGTCCCATGAATGTTGACAAATCTTAGATTTGTGAAAATCTCTCTTTCTTATATAATCTTTATGTTCTTTATTTCTAACATTTAAAGGTCTAGATGTTCCACCAATGTAAAATTTATCACATTCACATGGTATTTGGTATATTACATTTTTTGTTTGTTGTTCTGTATTCATTGGTTTAGTATGTGATAAAATGGATCTAAGTGTATTTTGTATTTTGAAAGATGTTCGTATATTATTATGTTCTTATCTTTATAAGCATTTTTTTCTTTGTTAGGCAAATTTGTATAACTGTAAACATAACTTCTGACAAGCAGTATTTTCTTGCAGTGCAGTGGCGAAATACCCATAAAGAATTTTTTGGAGAGATGAATCCACCACATATGCATAGACATTTTTTTACTCTACAGAGTGTCGCCTCTCATACGACGCGGATGCCCTAAGAAGAACGGTAGTTTATATAGAATCGAAATTTAGGAGCATATGTAGATTAATTGAAAGAATTTTATGAAATTATATAGAATTCAAGAGGTTGTCCCTCAAAAAAGTTAAATATTAAATAGTTTTTTTTGTAATGGATATACATTAATTGACTTTTGGATTTTAGAAAAAAAATAAGGGTGAGTTTCATTAAAGAAGCATATGCCAAAAATGTATGGATTTTGAGATATTTCACATGTTGTGAAAATGAAAAATAAAATTTAAATTTTAACAATAGCTATTATACCTAAAGTGTAATCTACCCTGTATATCCTGATATTTGCTTACAATAACTATTGTTTCTTAAACCAAATTAAAGTTTGACCCGAAAAGTTATACAGGGAAAGGCAAAATTAATGTGAACATTGGCACTTTTCAAAGAAAGTTACTTCTTTATATTAAATGGAATACCTAGTACATTATTCCAGTATTCGATGCAGAATTCATATATCTTCAAAACATTGTTAAGGTTGCCAACCCCTCATACAAGGATTTTCCTGGATGATTTCATTTAATATGTTTTTGCGTCATTAGACCTATAACATTTGATAAAATCTAGGTGTGTGTGATATACCTTTAGTTAATTTAACAAAAATTAAAGGATGTAGATTTAGGATAATAATTAAAAGGATGTATTATTTACAGGGTGTCCCCTCCCTGTAAAACTATAATTTACGAAATGCTTTAAATTAACCTACATATGCTCACCAAATTTTATTTCAATAAAAACTGTCGTTCTCCTTGGGGCCTTCGTGTCGTATAAAAGGCGTCACCCTGTATGTGTTTCAGGACCTCTGTTTCATTAAAATACCTCATTTACAAGCAAAATCTTAAAGGTTTGAATTTTTCAACACAGCAAATATATTTAACACTGATACGAAGTTGAACTAAACTAAAACTTCAGCTAAAAGTAAAGTTGAGTTATATACAATAATATGTGTATCATGATTTGATATGTTATGTTTTATTCAAATCAAAATTTAGTGATTTTTATTGCTTTCTAAAAACAATATCAAAAATAAACAAATAATCAAAAAAATGTAATTGTAAAATATTTTGATATTGACTGTTACGTAAACTAAATATAATTTAATCAATCAAAAGCTAATTTATTTATAAGATAAATACATATTTATAATTTTGCTAAAATATATATTGTTCAATATTATAAGTTATAATAATAAGTTGTTATAATGTTATAAGGTACTATAATAAAAAAAGTATATATTATTTTTTAGAATTGTGAAACAAAATACTTCTCCATACTTAATTTTTTGATACATTACTAAAATTTATTGTTATATTTTAATATTGTAATAACTGAAATATATTATGCATCTAAGTTTGTATCTACTACATGTATATGTAACTATTATCCTTATAATTCTTGTAAATATTGAGCTATTTTTGTATAAATATAGACTCCACAATATTATAAATATAATATCTAATGTATGTATAGGGCAATATTTAAATGTATTGTATTTATAAAAGTCTTATACAGTCTATCTACGTCTTTGTAAATAAACAAAATTAAAAATTACTGTTGATAATTTGTTTATACTGAATCTTGATTTGTTTCCCCTATTTTTTGTTGTTACTAAAAAGTTTTTCAGTAGTTTTTAAATCAGCAAGTTTTCACACGTTTCCTAGCGCATCCGGCATATTTTTAAAATCTTTTAATACAGCTGTGCTGTATTAGGTAGTATTAATTATATAATTGCTTTAATTTTTAATAGTTATTTTTACAAAACAACACTTAAGTTGTCAACTTACAATTTTGTCAATGCCAAATTATAGTTCCTAAACTTTAGATTTTTACCTAATTTAAACAAGTTTTAAATTACAAAAAATGGATATTAGGCAAACTAACGGTAGGTACTATAACAAAGTAGCGTAGAGAGCACAACAAATTGCATTCAGAGGTTGAAAAGTTAAGATATGGTGACATTTACCTGGTTTTGCATTGTTGCTTGTTGTAGGTTTTTTAAAATTATATAAAAAGGCTTGTCCAAAGTTGTTCCAATTTAACATGTGCATTCGGCATACGCAGATCCTTAATAAAACATAAATAAAAAAAACATAAATAAAAGAATTTTGTCTATTGTTTTTATATAATTTTGATTAGTTGTCTAAGAAGCATCCTAACAAAAACAAGGCCAGGATCATTAAAACAAGAGAAAGAGTGCATCTACCAGGTACCTTGTGATTGCGGTGAGTCGTATATTGGAGAGACTAAACGTCGTCTAAATATATGACTTAGCAAACAATAAAAAAAATGTTCAAAAAGGTAAAACAATGAAGTCAGATATTGCAAATCATGTTTGATCACAACAACATAATATAAAGCGGTCGGAAGCTCGGGTTGTACAGTGCTTTCATTTTAATTTGTCACACTTTTAAAAGGCTGTAAAACATTTACTTTTTGAGTTAAAAGGTCGAGAGAAAAAGAAATTGTAGTGTTTTTTGTTAAGTTCTATGCTGTTTAGTCAAAAATTGTAAAAACTGTCGAATTTCAAAATTATTGACACAACTTCCTTGTTTTTAAAATGGTACACCCTATACCTGCATCATTAAATATTTAAAAAGACTTTTTTTTCTGATTACGAAAATATTCCACACTTGCCCCCTTTTTTTCCTTTTGTGTTTTAATAAATTTATTGCTCCTAGATTTGAATAATT